CCCTTCCCCTCCCCCATTTCTGAGAAGGGTCTAGGTCCGAAACGTCAGCCTTCCTGCTCCTCTGATGCTGCTTGGCCTGCTGCGTTCATCCAGCTCTACACCTTGTTATCTCTGGTCCATATGGGTGGTCTTTATGTATACACTAGTCTGGAGTTCCCCGTTGTTCTTACGTTCCACCTTTATGTCTGGGACTACCGATAACCGACTATCCTTCCTAGACATAATGGTAAAACATAAGAACAACGGGGAACTCCAGACTAGCATAGACAGAAGGACCACATATACAGACCAGATAATTAATTACTCCAGCAACCACCCCAACACCCATAAACGGAACTGCATCAGGACATTATTCAAACGAGCCACAACACACTGCAGCAACTGGAATTGTGCAAAGCAGGACAGGAGCACTTGCGTGGAGTTTTTAAAGAGATATCCAAAAAGCACAATCCGCTGTTACTTCTGCGACAGACTAATAGAAGAAGACACAACATGGTCAGACACACTAGTCACCCTACCGTACATCAGAGACATATCAAAGATGACGACAAGACTACTCCTACCCTAGGTATCAGGGTAGCCCACAAACCAACAAACACCCTGCAACAGCTGCCGACAAACATAAAGGATCCCATACCCACAGCCAATAAAGCCAACATAATATACAAAATACTATGTAAGCACTGTGAGAGACATTACATAGGCCAAACAGGAAGAAAACTACGATAAGGATACACAAACACCAGCTAGCCACCAAGAGACTCGACCAATTCTCACTGGTCTCAATACACACAGACAAAGAAGGACATGAAGTTGACTGGGACAACACATCCATAATAGCACATGCCACACATGCCAGGCATTCCAACCAGAACTCCATCAACAAACACGTTGAACTGGACCCGATATACAAACCATAAAAAACAGAACCGGAAGTGATACCAACTACCCCAGCAAACCGAGGCAAATAAATAACAAGTGGGACAGAACACCGACGCTTCACTGGAGGTGCAGTGACGATGTTGCATAGCAGGGTGATGAAACGTCTGCAATCAAACACATCAGCTCAGCGAGCATGCCTACAACCTCAATGTCCATTGCTCTGCGGTCATGAATCTTTTTGGTAACTTGCTCAAAAATTCTATCAAGTTTGTGAGACATGATTTCATAACATAAAATCATGCTGACTACCCCTAGTCAATTTTTGCCTCTCTGAATGTCTATAAATCCCATCTTTTATAACCACCTCCAACAATTTACCCACAACCGAAGTCAGACTTTATAGGTTTATAGTTCCCCAGCTTCTCCTTACAATTACCTTTCGTAAACAAAGGTACAACATTAGCCACACTCCAGTCTTCAGGCACCTCACCCGTAGTTATAGATGATGCAAGTATTTCTGCAAAGGGTCTTGCAATTTCCTCCCTTACTTCGCACAACGTTCTGGGATACATTAGATCAGGTCCCGAAGATTTGTCCACCTTTATATTCTTTAACCTCCCGAATTTCCTCTTATGTAATCTGAACTGTTTTTAAAACATCATAGTTAATTTCTCTGCATTCTCTAGGCTCCATTTCTTTCTCCACTGTAAAAACTGATGTGAAATGTTCATTTAGCATCTCCTACCTCCTGAGGTTCAACTCAAAGACGACCCCCTGGATCTTTAAGAGGCCCTACCCTCTCTCTAGTTACCCTCTTGCTCTTAATGTATTTGTAGAATCTCTTTGGATTATTCTTAACCTTATCTGCCTTCCTCTGATTTCTCTCTTAAGAATGCCCCTACACTCTTTATATTAATTGAGATTCAATTGAACCACGTTGTCTGTATCTGAAATAAGATTCTCTCTTATTCTTGAATTAAACCTCAATATCTTTATTCATCCATTGTTCCTGAATCTTACCAGCCTTACCCTTCACTCTAACAGGAGCGTAATGCCTCTGAACTCTCGTCATCATACTCTTGAATGCCTCCCACTAGCAGTACCAAGTTAGCTGTCCTTCAGCCCTGCTTTCTTTAGTACACCCCTGCAATTTCTGTACTCCACTAGCGCCTTTATTGATTTGCTCCCTTTGTAACTGCTAAAAGCCTCTCTTTTCCTTCTTATCAAATCCTGAACCACCTTCAACATCCTTGTCCATAACTGTTCTAAACCAGTTGATATTTTGATCGCGATTGCCCAGGTGCTCCCACTCCACTCAGTGTCCAGGTCATTCATTTTATTCCACATTCATAAACTCATGATACTGAAGCTTTGGAACTCCCCTCTTGTGCTTGTTTTCATATTAGAGAAGCCATACATGTATTCTGTTAACTTTTGATGTTTTTGCCAAAAATATACACTTGTTCTTGGAGCAACCACTTTTGCTCTTTCACTTTGTTGTTAGCTCTGACTTTTCCCTGCAGATCTTCTCCATTTCTGTATTTTACTGAGGTTGTATTTAACACAATGATTCAGTTCCCACAGAAAATGTGGCCACAGTTGGTGCCAGTGCCACTGTAACAGAAGGAGTAAGTCGCACTCGAAATGCTTTATTAAATGGAGACACAAAGAATTACGACTGGGATTCTGGTTACACCTGTCATCAGCTGGGAAGTGGAGCCATTGTGGTCCAGCTAGCACAGCCTTTCATGATCGGAACCATGAGGTAACTGGGGTATAGACACTCAGCCCACATTGTCGAAGACCAATGGTTGTGTTAACCTGGGTGTTTCTGTATGTAATCGTGACAAAGTCAGTTTTCATCTCTAATTGCCCTCAAAAAGGTGGTGGTGAGCAACCATCTTGAACTGCTGCAGTCCTCGGAGCATAAGAACCTCTGCAGTGCTGCTAGGGAAGAAATTCCAGGATTTTTACTCATTTAAAACAAAGGAACAGCAATGTATTTCAAAGTCGGGATGGTGAGTGGATTGAAGTGTAACTTGCAGGTGGTGATGTTCCCATGTAACTACTGCCCTTGTCCTGAGAGATGGAAGAGGTTGTGGGTTTGGAAGATGCTGTTTCAGAAGCCATGGTGAATTTCAGCAGTGTGTCATGTAGATAGTACACACTGTGGTTACTGAGCGTTTGTGGTGGAGGGAGTGGATGCTTGTGGATGTGGTGGCAATCAAGTGGGTTCTTTTGTCCTGGATGGTGTCAAGCTTCTTGAGTGTTGTTGGGGCTGCACCCATCCAGGCAAGTGTTTCATCACACCCCTTACTTGTACCTTCTAGATGGTGGACAGGTTTTGGGGAGTCAGGAGGTGAGTTACTCACTGCAGTATTCCTAACCTCTGACCTGCTCTTATAGCCACTGCATTTATATACTGAATCCAGTCCAACTTCTGGTCAGTGGTAAGTCCTAAGATGTTGATAGTGGGGGTTTCAGTGAAGGTAATGCCATTGAATGTCAAAGGATGATGTTTGGAGATCATCTTGTCGGAGAGCATCATTGCATGGCACTAACGTGGCCTGATTGTTATTACCACTTCTCAGCCCAAGCCTGGATGTTTTTCAGGCCTTGCTGCATTTGGACATAGACTGTTCCATTATTTGAGGAGTAACATGTTTGATGGGCTTCCCCATCAGTGTGAATGGGGGTAGGTTATTAATAGATGAAAGAGTTGTTACTTTAAAGGTTGGTACTGCTGAAAGTGAAGAACTGACGAGAACTCAGTAGAATACATGTGAGGGATGCTGAGGGAGTTGAGTGTGGAAATTGTGAAGGGACTGGCTTAAGTACTCTAGTCCTCATTAGTGCTGACAGAGGACTTGAGGATTGCATATTATTATGATCTAGTAGCCCTAAATGATATGGGTAAATGTTCAGTTGATGTTACTCTCAACAGGAACCTGGTCCGATTGATTATAATTATTTTAACAAGGCAATCTCTTCTGAAAACGGAAGCACACAATGTTGCAATCTTATTTTTAACAATAAAACTAAAAAAGGTATTAACACCAGAAATCAATAAACATGGAAAAATCCGCTCTAATCCATTATAACATAGATTCAAAGATTGTTAGTAGAAATGTTTAAAGCATGATACAGCTTAGAAACATTATTATACTTTCAAGGACATCTGGTGCTGCATTTCTAGCAAGACTCAGCCCAGCTCATTTCCAAGAAAGAAATTTTCTGTTTGTTTAATACTTTGATGAGCTTGAAGTGATTAAAATCTCACGTTTATCTGCTGGAACTGTAGATAACCCTTCCTTCATTATCATTATAATGCTCCTGACTTAGTTTCCTTCCACATTCTCTCAGACACAGCTTCAATTCCTTTCTCTTTTCTTTTAAACTTCAAATGACTTCATTTCTTTTCTACCGACTATATCCCCAACCCTGTGGTCTGTGATAACTTCATTACTTTAAACTCCTGGTGCTAGGATTTCTGCTTAACATATTTTTCTCTATGGAAAGACTTCTCAACAATTTGGAGCAAGATACCTCTCTAACAACTCCCTTGCCCAGGTTGAATCAATCTGGAAAGTCCTCTCCTTAAGTACTCTGGATAAGACCTGAGAAACACTGGTGACTCTCTGTCGCTTGGAGTTACGGGTATTGGAGTTCTCCCTCAAAAACTAATGCTCAACTCCAAACATAGAAACAAACCCATATGTCCAATCCAGAACTCCAAGAGACCTAACTTGCAGCAAACAATGCCAGAATATAGATACACAAGTTCCTCAGTTTCATCACAAACACATTACATCTTTTTAGGCTGGAAACACCAAGCAAATACAGGACAGCCGATTCAATATCCATAGTGGGGAAAAGTTTACAGATAATAATTAGAACAAAAATTAGTTGATAGTGGGAAAAGTATGGACTGAGTAATGAAAAGTCATAGAGATCTACAGCACAGCAAAAAGCCCTTTGGCCCATCGAGTTTGTGCCAGTCAGAAACAACCACCTGAATGTGCTAATGCTATTTTCCAGCACATGGCTCATGGAGTGTCACAAGTGCACATTTAAATACTACTTAAATGTTATGAGGGCTCTGCCTCTACCACCCTTGCAGGCAGTGAGTTCTAGATTCTCACCATTCTCTGGGTGAAAAGATTTTTCATCACATCTCCTATAAGCTTCATGCTCATTACCCTAAATCTATGCCGTGTGGTCATTTATCCCTTCACCAAGAAGAAACATTTCTTCCTATCTACACTATCTATGTTCCTCATACTTGTGTAGTTCTCAAACATGTCACCCCTCAGTCTCCCTGCTCCAAAGAAGATAACCCCATTGTATATAGAGATAGTAGGAACTGCCGATGCTGGAGTCTGAGATAACAAGGTGTACAGCTGGAGGAACACAGCAGGCCAGGCAGCATCAGAGGAGCAGGAAAGCTGACGTTTTGGGTCTGGACCCTTCTTCAGAAATGGGGGAGGGGAAGTGGGCTCAAATAAATAGAGAAGGGGGAGGTGATGATAGAAGGTGGATAGAGGAGCAAATAGGTGGAGAGAAGACAGACAGGTCAAGGAGACCGGGTTGGAGCCAGTATAGGTGAGTGTAGGTAGAGAGTTGGGATGGGGGTTGGACAGTGAGGAGGGAGGGGTGAGTAGGTGGGAGGGAAGACAGACAGGTCAAGGAGGCGGGGATGAGGCTTAGTAGGTAGGAAGTGGGGGTAGGGTTGGTCAGTGAGGTGGCAGGAGTGGATAGGTGGGAGAAAAGACAGACGGGTCAAGGAGGCAGGGACGAGCTGTGCTGGTCTTGGGATGAGGTCGGGGGGGTGGGGAGATTTTGAAGCTTGTGAAGTCCACATTGAGACCATTGGGCTGCAGGGTTCCCACGCGGAATATGAGGTGCTGTTCCTCCAGCCTTCGGGTGGCATCATTGTGGCACTGGAGGAGGCCCAGGATAGACATGTTGTCTGAGGAGTTGGAGGGGGAGTTGAAGTGGTTCGCGACTGGGAGGTGTTGTCGTTTGCCATGAACCGAGCATAGCTGCTCCACAAAGCGGTCTCCAAGCCTCCGCTTGGTTTCCCCGATGTAGAGGAGGCCACATCGGGTACAGCGGGTACAGTATACCACATTAGCAGATGTGTAGATGAACGTCAGTTTAATGTGGAAGGTTTTCTTGGGGCCTGGGGGGGACGTGTAGGTGTAGGTGTAGCACCTCCTGCGGTTGCAGGGAAAAGTGCCGGGGGTGGTGGGGCTAGTGTGGAGTGGACGAGGGAGTCTCGGAGAGAGCGGTTCCTCCAGAAAGCAGATAAGGGTGGGGAAGGAAATATATCCTTGGTAGTGGGGTCGGATTGCAGATGGCGGAAGTAGCGGAGAATGATTCGTTGAATCCGGAGGTTGATGGTATCATTGCCTCCCCCTCTCTCTATTTATTTCAGAGCCCCCTTCCCCTCTCCCATTTCTGAAGAAGGGTCCAGACCTGAAACGTCAGCTTTCCTGCTCCTCTGATGCTGCCTGGCCTGCTGTGTTCATCCAGCTCCACACCTTGTTATCCCAGACTATATAATCTCTCTTCATAACTGAAACTCTCGAAGCCAGGCAATATCCTGGTAAATTTCCTCTGGACCCTCTCCAGTGTCACTACAACCCTTCTATAATGTGCTTCCAATATTCTAGCTGTGGCCTAACCAGCATTTTATCCATTTCCAGCATAATCTCCCAGCTCTTAAACTCTATGCTAGGGCTTATGGAGGCAAGTTGTCTTAACCATTTTATCCACCTGTCCTGATACCTTAAGAGACCTGTGTATATGCACAACAAGGTCCCTCTGATCTTTCTCGGAGCAAATTCCTGCAAATGCTGGAATCTGTACTGAAAAGTGAAAAATACTGAAATTCACAGTGGGTCAGGCAGCATCCAAGGCGAGAGAGCAAGCTGACGGTCGAGTCTAGATCATTCTTCATCAGAGCTGACCTTTGATGTTTCTCAGAATTGTACCACTCGCCATGCATTCCTTCATTTTGTTAATTCTACCTGAGTGCATTACCTCACGCTTATCCTGATTGAATTCCATTTACCGCTGATTAGCCATCTGACCAGCCCATCTATATCCTTCTGCGTTCTAAGGCTATTCTCCTCACTATTTACCACCCCACCAATTTTCGTATCATCTGCAACCTTATCGATCAGTCCTCCGACATTCAAGTATAAATCATTTATATAAACCACAGAAAACAATGGCCCCAACGATGATCCCTGTGGGACCCTGCTGAACACAGGCTTTCAGTCACAAAAGCACCCCTTGACCATCACACTCTGCTTTCTGTCACTTGGCCAGTTCTGGATCAATTTTGCTAAATTTCCATGGATCCCATGGGCTCTTATCTTTGCTATCAGTCTCCTATGCAGGTCCAATCCAACCCGGCCAATTACCGCCCCATCAGTCTCCTCTCGATCATCAGTAAAGTGAAGGAAGGTGTCACTAACAGCGCTATCAAGCAGCACCTGCTCAGCAATAACCTGCTCAGTGACACCCAGTTTGGGTTCCACCAGGGCCACTCAGCTCCTGATCTCATTGCAGCCTTGGTTCAAATATTGACAAAAGAGCTGAATTCCAGAGGAGAGGTGAGAGTAATCACGCTTGTCATAAAAGCCACATTCGACCAAGTGTGGCATCAAGGAGCCTGATCATAACTGGAATCAGTGAGTATCAAGGGGCATACTCTTCACTGGTTGGTATGTAGGACAATGGTTGTGTTTGTTGGAGGTCAGTCATCTCAGCTCCAGGAGTTCCTTAGGGTAGTGCCCCAGACCCAACCATCTTCAGCTGCTTCATCAGTGACTTTCCCTCCATCATACTGTGGTGAATATGGATTTTAGCAAGGCATTTGATAAGGTTCCACATGGTAGGTTCATTCAGAAAGTAAGGAGGCATGGGATTCAGGGAAATTTGTCTGTCTGGATACAGAATTGGCTGTCCAATAGAAGGCAGAGGGTAGTAGTAGATGAAAAGTATTCAGCCTGGAGCTCAGTGACCAGTGGTGTTCTGCAGGGATCTGTTCTGGGACCACTGCTCTTTGTGATCTTTATAAATGACTTGGATGAGGAAGTGGAAGGGTGGGTTAGTAAGTTTGCCGATGACACGAAGGTTGGTGGAGTTGTGGACAGCGTGGAGGGCTGTTGTAGGTTGCAACGGGACATTGACAGGATGCAGAGCTGGGCAAAGAAGTGGCAGATGGAATTCAACCCAGAAAAATGTGAAGTAATTCATTTTGAAAGGTTGAATTTGAATGCAGAATACAGGGTTAATGGCAGGATTCTTGACAGTGTGGAGGAACAGAGGGATCTTGGGGTCCACATCCATAGATCCTTCAAAGTTGCCACCCAAGTTGATAGGGTTGTAAAGAAGGCATATGGTGTGTTGGCTTTCATTGGCAGGGGAATTGAGTTTAAGAGCCACGAGGTTATGCTGCAGCTCTATAAAACCCTGGTTAGACCGCACCTGGAATATTGTGTTCACTTCTGGTCTCCTCATTATAGGAAAGATGCGGAAGCTTTAGAGAGAATGCAGAGAAGATTTACCAGGATGCTGCCTGGACTGGAGGGCAGGTCTTATGAGGAAAGGTTGAGGGAGGTAGGGCTTTTCTTATTGGAGCAAAGAACGATAAGAGGTGACTTGATAGAGGTTTACAAGATGATGAGAGGCATAGATAGAGTGGATAGTCAAAAACTTTTTCCCAGGGCAGAAATGACTATTACAAGGGGCATAATTTTAAGGTGATTGGAGGAAGGTATAGGGGAGATGTCAGAGGTAGGTTCTTCACACAGAAAGTGGTGGGCGTGTGGAATGCGCTGCCAGCAGTTGTCGTGGAGTCAGATACTTTAGAGACTTTTAAGCGACTCTTGGATAGGCACATGGAGGATAATAAAATGTACGGTATGCAGGGTAGTTTGATCTCAGTGGGCTAATAGGTCAGTACAACATCGTGGGCCGAAGGGCCTGCACTGTGCCGTACTGTTCTATGTTCTATGATGTCAGAAGTGGGGATGTTCACTGCTGATTGTACAATGTTCAGCACCAGGGAGGAAATGGCCTTTTTTTTAAATTCATTCACAGCGTGAGGGGTTTTTCAGACTCTTAATTCCAGATGTTTATCGAATTCAAATTCCACCATCTGCCATGGCAGGACCAGGCCTCATGGTACTATGCTGGACTGTTCTGGGGGCTTCGAATCCTGCCACGACAATAGTGCAATATCTGGAATTAAAGTCTAATGACGGTCATGAATCCATTGTCGATTGTCAGAAAAACCGATCTGGTTCACTAATGTCCTTTAGGGAAGGAATCTGCCATCCTTACCTGGTCTGGCCCACATGTGACTCCAGACCCACAGCAATGTGAACGTAGAACAGTGCAGCACAGTACAGGCCCTTTGGCCCACGATGTTGTGCCGACCTTTTACCCTAATCCTAAGGTCTATCTAACCTCCACCGCTACCTTATACTATCATCCATATGCCTATCTAATAGCCGCTTAAATGGCCCTAATGAGGCCGACTCCACTGCCCTCTCCGGTAATGCATTCCACGCCCCTACCACTCTGAGTAAAGAACCTACCTCTGACGTCTCCCCTATATCTACCTCCACTCACTTTAAAACTATGCCCCCTCATAATAGGAACCTCCACCCTCGGAAAAAATCTCTGGTTGTCTACTCTATCTATACCTCTGATCATTTTGTATACCTCTATCAAGTCACCTCTCATCCTTTGTCATTCTAAAGAGAAAAGCCCTAGCTCTCTCAACCTTTCCTCGTAAGACCTTCCCTCCATTCCAGGCAACATCCTGGTAAATCTCCTCTGCACCTTTTCCAACACTTCCACATCTTTCCTGTAATGAGGCAACCAGAACTGGACACAATACTCCAGATGTGGCCGAACCAGTGTTTTGAATAGCTAGAGCATAACTTCACGGCTCTTGAACTCAATCCCTCTGTTAATGAAAGCTAACACACCGTACGCCTTCTTAACAACTCTATCCACCTGGGTGGAAGCTTTCAGGGAACTGGGAACAAGAACCCCAAGATCCCTCTGCTCCTCCACACTGCCAAGAATCTTTCCGTTCACCCTGTATTCTGCTTTCAAGTTTGTCCTTCCAAAATGAATCACCTCACACTTCTCAGGGTTAAACTCCATCTGCCACTTCTCAGCCCAGCTCTGCATCCTATCAATATCCCTTTGTAACCTAGAACCCTCTGCACTATCCACAACTCGACCCACCTTCGTATCATCAATATGTGGTTGACTTATAACTGCCCTCTGGGCGATTCTGGATGGGCAATGAATGCTGGCCTAGCCAGCGATGCCCTCATCCTGTGAATGAATAGAAAAAAGTCGATTTCCTCCCTGGCGCTGAACATTGTGCAATCAGCAGCTGCTATCTGGACGATAAATGCTGGCCTTGACATCGATGCCCGCATTCTGGGAATGAATTAAAAAAAAGCCTCCTCAGATACTGGAGCAGCTCATGTTCAAATGCAACAAGATTCAGACAACAGCCAGGCTTGAGCTGACAAGTGGCAGGTAACATTTGCACTGCACAAATACCAGGCAATGACCATCTTACCACCACCCCTTGACTGTCGATGTTGTTATCATCACTGAATCCCCCACTGTAAACATCTTGGGGGTTACCATTGACCAGAAACTCAACTGGACTCGTCACATAAACACAGTGGCTACAACAACAGGTCAGAGGCTAGGAATACTGCGGCAAATAACTCACTTACTGACTCCCCAAAGCCTGTTCATCATCTACAAGGCACAAGACAGGAGTGTGATGGAAAGCCCCTCACTTGCCTGGGTGAGTGCAGCCCCAACAAAACTGAAGAAGCTCGACACCATCCAGAACAAAGCAGCAGTGTGTACTATGTACAAAATGCACTGAAGAAATTCACCAAGATCCTTAGATAGCTTATCCATCTAGAAGCACAAGGGCAGAAAATATATAGGAACATCACCACCAGTAAGTTCCCCTCCAAACCACAAACCATCCTGACTTGGAAATATATTGCTGTTCCTTCAGTGTCACTGAGTCAAAAGCTTGGAAATGTCTCCCTTCGAGCATTATGGGTCTACCTACAGCACGTGGACTCAGCAGTTCAACGAAGCAGCTCACCACCACCTTCTCAAGGGGGACAATTACAGACGGGCAGAAAATGCTGGGGCAGCCAACACCGTCCACGTCCCACAAGTGAATTTTTAAGAAAGGGACATTGAGGGTCAGTAGTAAAATGGAGTTGAAATACATGCCAGTTTCTGTATATACTCACCTCCACCACTGAAGGAAACCTCAGATAGGTAACATTCCATGAAAGAATGGGTCAGTTTTGGTGAAAATGGAATCTGGATTCAGAAACATTTTAAATGATCCATTAATCAACATTGGGAGATCGGGCAAATTGAATTCTGTTTTATGATGTTGTGTGTTGTTTGCTTTTGAATGCCATTGATTGTTTTAGATTGCTGTGGTGGGATTTGTTACAACCATTTATTGTGAACAGTTTTCAAAGCAGGTGAACCTTTAATAAAAACAGTATGTTTTCAGCTTTGAACTTACAGCATGAATCAGATAAGGAAAAGCCTCATGGAATAGCTGTATAATTGTAATGATATTGAGTTAACACCATGTGGTAGGGATTTGCATTTTACTGAGTGACTTCTTCACTTACAGAACAACGTAACAGGCTTGAGGGGTCAGATAGCTGCCTCCTGTACTCATAGACTCTGAGTGAATGGTCTGTTGTTGTTCCTGTGTAACGGACATGAGGGACTGAGCTACTCCTCCTGTTTCCATGTAACAGACTTAAGGAGAGCAGAATAACCTTCTCCCAGTCTTGTGTAACAGATTGAAGTCGGGGGGTAACTGAATGATCTTCTGTTCCTGTGTAATAGCCTTGAGGGGCTGAATGACCTACTCCAAAACACAAACAATGCTGGAGATCACAGCGGATCAGGCAGCATTCATGGAGAGAGAGCAAGCTAACATTTCTAGTCTAGATGACTCTTCATCAGAGCTGATGTGAAGTGTGATGGGGACAGTATTTATGCTGTAGTGGTGGCGGAGAGTGCTGGTGAGAAAGGATGTTTAATTGTGCAGATAAGTGATTGGAATGTGAGAATGGCAGAACAATGGTGTAGCTAGCTGCCAAACTGGAAAGGACAGATCATCCCACTGGAGTAGGACGAGGGGAAAGAGGACATGGTGATAGAGAATGCAATAAGTAAAGCTAAAAGAAAGGGAAGGAATGGGAGTGGGTTATTAATCTGAAGGTGTTGAATTCAATAATAAGTCCAGAACAGGTTCAGGCTGGGGGACTGAATGACCTTCCCCTGTTCCTGTGCAAAAATCAAGGGACTGAGTTGGCAGTTCCATTTTACAATATGTATTTCCAATCAGGCTACTGCTCTGGGATTGTGATGATCGAAGCTACAGTTTCTACATTGAAGTCTCCAACAACCAGCAGCAGTGGAGGATGGTGGCAGATCGTACAAAAGTTACGTGCAGGTCAGAATCATTCCCTGCTATTTTCACAGTTTATCTTTTATGGTTCCCCTACTATTGGTAAATAAATTGGATGTTTCCACAAATACATCTAGAACAAATTGACAAACTAATCTGATTAAAAGGTGCAATAAACTCAAAAGTTCGAGTAGCCAACTGTTCCTAATTTCGTTGGTCATGTGTTTGTATAAGCTCTCCATGATACAAGTGGGAAGCAGAAATAACAGAATCTGTGTCATTGAGTCACATGACTCTCTCTAACGGAGTCAGACTGGTGACTGTGAACCTATTGTTGATTGTCAGAAAAACCCATCTGGTTCACTAATGTCCTTTAGGGAAAGAAACTGCCATCCTTACCTGGTCTGGCCTACATATGACTCCAGACCCACAGCAATGTGGTTGACTTTCAGCTGCCCTCTGAAATGGCCTAGCAGCCATTCATTGTACCAATCACTACAAAATCTCAAGAAAGAAATTAAATCAGATGGAACACCCAGTATCGACCTATACACCAAGAAAGATAACGTTTGGGGGCTAGTGCCAAAACTGGGAGAGCTGTCCCACAGACTAGTCAAGCAGCAGTATGTCACACTCGCAGAATCTTACCCTAAAGACAGTATCCCAGACAACACTGTCAACACCCCTGGGTATGTCCTGTACCGCTGGCAGGACTGACCCAGCAGAGGTGGCAGCACAGCAGTATACATTCAGGAGGGAATTGCTCCTCAATTACTCCCTATGCCACGTGCTGGTGAGGCCAGAAATGGGAACGTAATCAGTTTAATGTATGCCTAAAGAGTTGGTGTTAGAGGGAGGGCTTCAGATATCTTCCAGGGCAGGCAGGACCTGTAGAAGAAGGACAGGTTGCATGTAAACTGGAGGGCAGGGAGGTTTGCTAGTGCTACTCAGGGGGGTTTAAAGTATTGTGTTGGATGGGGTGGAGGGGGGGCATTGGGAACCAGAGCAGAAGGTCAGCAAGTGGAGTGATTGAGGAGAATGTAGAGGTTAAGTCAAGTAAGTCTATCTAATAGGAAGAACAGTCAGGGCCAGATTAATGAACATGGTGGGACTGGTGGTCTGAAGTGTATTTATCTTAATGCAAAGATTATAGCAGATAAGGCAGATGAGCTTGGTGCTTGGATTAATGCATGGAACTAAGATGTGGTAGCCATTACAGAATCTTGTTTAAGAGAAGGGCAGGACTGGCAGCCCAGCGTTCCAGGGTTTAGATGTTTCAGGCATGATAGAGAGATATAAAAGGGGTTGTATTACTGATTAAGGACAATGTCCCAGTTGCACTGAAGGAGGACATCTTGGAAGGCTCATTCAGTGAGGCCAAATGGATAAAACTCGGAATAAGAAAGGTGTAATCACTATGATGGGGTTATATTACAGGCCTCCCAAAAGCCAGCAGGAGATAGAGGAACAGATGTGTAAGCAGGTCATAGAAAGATGTAAAAACAATGGGGTCATTGTATTTGGGTGGTTTTAATTTCCTGAGTATCAGCTGGGACTCCCTTAGCGCCAGGGGCTTAAATTGGGCAAAATTTGGTAAGTGCATCCAGGAGTGTTTAATGAAACAATTTTTAGATAGTCCAACTAGAGAAGAGACCATACAAGACCTTGTATTGGGGAATGAGTGTGGCCAGGTGATTGAAGTTTCAGTGGCTTAGGATTAAGGAGCATTTCTGCTCCTTAGTAAATTTTAAGATTGTTGTGGATAAAGATAAGACTAGCCCTTAGGTGAAAGTGCTAAACTGGGGGAAGGCTAATTTCAACAGATTAGACAGGAACTGGAGAAATTAGATTGGGAGCAGCTGTTTGGGGGTAAATCCTCATCTGACATGGGAGTTGATCAGAGTTCAGGACTAGCAAATTCCTGTGAGGGTAAAATATTAGGATGCAAGATTTGGGAACCAAGATGACAAGAGATATTGAAAGTTTAGTCAAAAAGAAAAAAGAAGCATATGTAAGGTTTAGGAAACTGAAATCAGATAATGCCCTTGAGGAATAAAAAGAAAGAAGGAAAGAATTTAAACAAGAATTAGGAGAGCAGACAGGGGCCATGAAATATCCTTGTCAAGTAGAATTAAGGAGAATCCCAAGGAGTTTTACTGGGAGCAGGATGATAGCTCAGGAAAGACTAGTTCCATTCAAAGACAAAGGCTGGAATTTATGCATGGAACCAGAGGAAGTGGGTGAGGTCCTTAATGAGTACTTTGCCTCGGTAGTCATTAAGGAGAAGAACATGGATGCTGGTAAGATGTGGGAGGGACATGTTAATATTCAGGGACATGTCAATACTAAGAAGGAGGAGGTGTTAGATATCTTACAAAATATTGAGATAGATAAGTCCCTAGGGTCTGATGGGATCAATCCCAGGATACTGAGGGCGGTAAGGGAGGAGATTGCTGGGACCTTGACAGGGATTTTGTATCCTCTTTAGCCATAGGCAAGACCCCAGAAGCCTGGAGAATAGTCAATGTTGATCCTTGATAATACTGGAAATCATAGGATGGCAGTGTGGTTAGCACTGCTACCTCACAGCACCAGGGACCCAGGTTTGATTTCAGCCTCAGGTGATGTCTGTGTGGAGTTTACACATTCTCACTGTGTCTGCATGGATTTCTTCCAATGCTCCAGTTTCCTCCCACAGTCCAAAGATGTGCAGGTTAAGTGGATTGGCCGTGCTATATTGCCCTTAGTGTCCTGGGTTGTGCAGCCAGGTGGGTTAGCCATAGTAAATGTGGGGTTTCGGGGGCATGGTATGCTCTTCAAAAGGTCGGTGCAGACTCGATGGTCCGAATGGCCTCTATCTGCACTGTAGGGATTCTATGTTCATAGGACAGAGAGCCTTACATCCGTGAAAGGTAATTTATTGGAGAAGGTTCTCAGTGTCAGGATTTACTTACATTTCAAAAAGAATGGTCTTATTAGAGATAGGGCTAGGTATGTAAATATATATTTGTGCAGGGGAGGTCTTGGCTCAAATTTGATCGAGTTTTTTGGGGAAGTGACAAAGATAATTGATGAGAGTAGGGCAATGAACGTGGTCTACATGGGCTTTAGTAAAACATTTGACAAGGTCCTTCATGGCAGTCTGGTCTAGAAGAGTAAATCACATGGGATGCATGGTGACTTTAAGTTGGGGTCAAAATTAGCTTAGTCACAGAACATGGGAGGTTGATGACTAGTGGTGTTCTGCAAGGATCAGTGCAATGACTTCTGTTGTTTATTATATGTGAATGATTCGGATGAGAATATAGATGGTCTGATAAGTAAGTTTGTAGACAACACAAAAATTGGTGGAGTTGTGGATTGTGAAGTAGGTTCTCAAAAGATGCAGCTTGATAATTGGGCAGAGATATGACAGATGGAGTTTAATCTAGTCAGTTGTGACTTGATGCTTTGTTGGGGGTTAAATGTAATAGGAAAGTGTGCAGTAAATGGCAGGACCCTGAGTAGCATTGATATACAGAGGGATCATGGGGATGGCATGCTTGCCTTCTTCAGTCAGGGCATTGAGTATAAAAGTTGGCAGGTCATTTTGCAGCTGTATAGTTAGGCCATATTTGGCGTATTGTGTGCAGTTCTGGTTGCCACACTATAGGAAGGATGTGGAGGGTGCAAAAGAGGTTAATCAGGATGTTGCCTGGAATGAAGCAAATTAGCTATAAGGAGAGGTTGGACAAACTTGGGTTGTTATAGCAGAGTGTTGGAGGCTGAGGGGCAATTTGATATAAGTATATAAAGCTATGAGAGGCATGGATAGGGTGGATAGACAGAGTCTTTTTCCCAGGGTGGAAAGGTCAAATAATAGGGGGCACAGGTTTAAAGCAAAAGGGGATAAGTTTAAGGAAATGTGCAAGGAAACCTTTTTATGTAGGTAGGTGCCTGGAACCTGCTGCCAGGGAAGGTGGCAGAAGCAAATACGAAAGTACTATGTAGGAAGTTTTTACACAGACACATAAACAGGCAGAGAATAGAGGGAGTCAATACAGTGTGGAGCTGGAGGATCACAGCTGGTCAGGCAGCATCAGGAACAGGAAAGTCGATGTTTCAGGTTTACACCCTTCATCAGAACTGATAGAGGGATACAGACCAGGTGAGGGCAGATGGGGCTAGTTTAGAATGGCATCATGGTCAGTACAGACATGGTGAGCTGAAAGGCCTGTTCCTGTGCTGTACTGTCCTATGTTCTATCACCATGCTAAATGGAGTTTCAACAGATCTAGCAAGTCAACTCTCATATCTGTGACAAAAACAGAAGTTGCTGGAAAAGCTCAGCAGGTCTGGCAGCATCTGTGTTTTTTTTTCTTCAGAATTAGCGTTTCGGATCTGGTGACCCTTCCTCAGAACTGATGGTAGCTGGGAAAACGTCAGCTTATAAATATCTGTGAGGCACTGTGGGTCATCATCATCAGCAGCATCATACTCCAGCACAATCTGCAACCTCATTGCCTGGTATATCCCCCACCCTACTGTTACCATCGACCCTGGTTCAATGGAGAGTGCAGGAGAGCTTGCCAAGAGCAACACCAGGAACATCTTAAAAAGAGGTGTCAACCTGGTGAAGCTACCAAAAGGACTACTTGCATCCGAAACAACACTGCTTATTTATTCTTGATTATTTATTCTTGCTGCTGCCTCAAGATGTTTTGCTTCAGGTATTACAATCTTGTGCCAGTGAGACCTTGCATTCCCTGGAATCCATGTGTGATGTTAATTAAAGGTGAGAATAATCTTCAGCAAGCGATAAACATTCTCACCTCCAGAAAATCTCTCTTGGAGCTCAAACCTTGTCACATGACTGCGTAACTGAGGGAAAACAAATCAGCATAAAATTTTACATATCCCAACCATATTTAAACCCTTCTCTCTGTTTTAATTTTTGCACATTTCTCAGTGTTTGGCTGCTCGTCTAATTCTGGTATTGCTGAAACCTATTACTCCTTCTTTAAGAAAACCTCCCAGTGTTTCTATTAATCCTGTGCTCCTGGTTAAATGCTTCTGTCCTCCATTTGTGCTTCCTTTGTTTTGATTCCAGATCATGGCAAACAATCAGCTTTGAGTTGCAGCCGGTGGTGTTCATCAGGATCGTCGGGACCTATAACACAGCCAATGAGGTGTGCTTTACAGACAAACGTTCGGACTTTTCAATGAGTTTGCTTGAAGGGAAGGTCAGATTGGGGTTGTGTGGGAGAATTACCTGACCAGATAGAACTACTGCACATTGAGGAAAAACATGATAGACTTGCATTTACACAGCACCTTTCAGGCCCACAGGACATGCTTAACCACTTTTCAACCAATGAGGTGCTTTTAAATGTAGTTGCTATTGTATTGTAGGAAGTGCTGCAAGTAGTTTGGGCACAGTAAGCTCCCAATGTCAGAAATGCAACCAGATAACCTAGTTTTAATGATATTGATAGAGGGATAAACATTGGCTCAGTTCACCACGGATAGCTTCCTTGATCTTCCATGAAAAAATTCCACTGGATCTCTGCACCTATCTGCGAGGAGGATGGGGTTTAATATCTCAACAGTCACCTGCAGCAGTGCAGCATCCAACACTACTGCATGCTCCTTGAATTTTGTGCTAAATTCCAGGAATCCTAAAGTCATATCACACAGGAGGCCATTGAGTCCATGCCAACTGTCTGTTGAGCAAGCAAGTCAGTCCCATTCCCCTGCTTTACCCCAACACCTAAAGAGGACAAACCAGAAACAAAATAAGAGGGACTAGAATGTGATTATAGTTAGGTACCAGTTTTTGACCAGCACAGACTTAATGGACCAAAAGGCTGTAGACTTCTATTATGAGGGGAGAATTTGACAATGGATTGGAAACTAAGATAAAAGGAAATCCACAAACATAGTGAAATGTTACCTGAGGATTGGTTAGGATATTTAGGGCCCAAATGAAGATTTCTTGGTTGAAGAGGTAGTCGAGGGCACGAGTTAAGTATTTTGCTTACTTTGCTGATGACATTAAACTTGGAAGAATTGTAAACTATGAGGAGGACAGTGTGGCACTCCAAAAGGACATTGATAAGTTGGTGGAGTGAGTGGATAGGTGGCAGATGAGGCTGATAATATAAATTAGGGGATAAGATTCTAAAAGGGGTGCAGGAGTAGAAAGACCTGGATGTATATGTGTACAGATCATTGAAGATAGCAGAACATGTGGAAAGAGCAGTTAATAAAGCATACGGTGTCCTGTGCTTTATTAATCGGGCCATAGAGTACAAGAGCAAGAAGGTGATGTTGAATTTGTACAAAATACATGTTATCTCTCAACTGAAGTATTGTATACACTTGTGGATGCCACGTTATAGGAAAGATGTGAATGCATTGGAGAGATGCAGAAATAATTTACAAGAATAGTTCCAGGGATGAGAAACTTCAGTGATGAGGTTAGATTGAAGAGGATGAGGCAATTCTCTTGGAGAGAATTGAGTAGATAACGAGAAGCTGTTCCTGCTCGCAATACAAAAAAGAATGAGAGCATAAATTTAAACTGATGTGTAAACGAAGTGTGAAATGATCAACAAGTCAGGCGAGTACTGAATGGTAGGATGCTAGGAATCTCAGGGTGCTTGTCCACATATCCCTGAAGGCAACAGAGCAGGTTAATAGGGTGGTTAAGAAGACATATGGGATATTTGGTTTACCAGTTATGGCATAGATTATAATACCAGAAGAATTAGGGACAGGAGTAGGCCATTCGGCCCCTCGAGCCTCCCCACCATTCAATAGGATCACGGCTGATTTAATATTCTTCATTTCGACTTTCCTGCCCTTTCCCTGTAACCCTTGATTCCCAACTGATCAAGAATCCATCTCAGCCTTAAATATACACAAGGACTCTGCCCCCACAGCTCTCTGTGGCAAGGAATTCCAAAGACCCACCACCCTCTGAGAGAAGAAATTCCCATCACCTCAGTCTTAAATTGGTGCCCCTTTATTCTGAGACGATGCCCTCTGGTCCTAGACTCTCCCATGAGGGGTAACATCCTCTCAGCATTTACCCTGTCAAGCCCCTTAAGAAACCTACAAGTCTCAATGAGATCGCCTATTATTCTTCTAAACCCCAGGGAGTAGAGTCCCAACCTACCTTTGCTTATAAAGACAATCCCTCCCATACCAGGGATCATCCCAGCAAACCTTCTGTGAACTGCCTTCAATGAAATGATATCTTCCCTCAAATAATGGGACCAAAACAGGCATTTGATAAGGTTCCCCATGGTAGGCTCATGCAGAAAGTAAGGAGGCATGGGAAAGGGGGAAATGTGGCAGATTGGATTCAGAATTGGCTGACCTTCAGAAGACAAAGGGTGGTAGTGGACAGAAAATATTCAACATGGTGCTCAGTTACGAGTGGTGTACCACAAGGATCTGTTCTGGGTCCTCTTCTATTTGTGATTTTTGTAAATGATTTGGATGAAGGAATGGAAGGCTGGATTAGCAAGTTTGCGGACGATACGAAGGTGGGTCACATAGTGGACGGTACGGTGGGCTGTTCTAGGTTACAAAGGGACATTGATAGAAGGCAGAGCTGGACTGAGAAGTGGCAGATGGAGTTTAACCCTGAAAAGTGTGAGGTGATTCATTTTGGAAGGACAAACTTGAAAGCAGAATACAGAGTTAACGGAAAGATTCTTGGCAGTGTGGAGGAGCAGAGGGATCTTGGGGTTCATGTCCACAGTTCCCTGAAAGCTGCCACCCAGGTGGATAGAGTTGTTAAGAAGGCGTATGGTGTGTTAGCTTTCATTAATAGAGGGATTGAGTTCAAGAGCCGTGAAGTTATGCTCCAGCTATACAAAAGCCTGGTTCGGCCCCATCTGGAGTATTGTGTCCAGTTCTGGTCACCTCATTACAGGAAAGATGTGAAAGCGTTGGAAAAGGCACAGAGGAGATTTACCAGGATGTTGCCTGGAATGGAGGGAAGGTCTTACGAGGAAAGGTTGAGAGAGCTATGGCTTTTCTCTTTAGAACGACAAAGGATGAGAGGTGACTTGATAGAGGTGTACAAAATGATCAGAGGTATAGATAGAGTAGACAGCCAGAGACTTTTTTCTAGGGTCGAGGTAGCTTTTATGAGGGAACAGACCTTTAAAGTGAAAAGAGGTAGATATTGGGGAGACGTCAGAGGTAGGTTCTTTACTCAGAGAGTGGTAGGGGGCGTGGAATGCATTGCCGGAGAGGGTAGTGGAGTCGGCCTCATTAGGGCATTTAAGCAGCTATTAGATAGGCATATGGATGATAGTCTAAGGTAACAGTGGAGGTTAGATAGACCTTAGGATTAGGGTAAAAGTTCGGCACAACATCGTGGGCCAAAGGGCCTGTACTGTGCTGTACTGTTCTATGTTCTATGTTCTAAAACTGCTCACAGTATTCCAGATGTGGTCTCCCCAGCATCTCGTACAGTTGCAGTAAAACTTCCCTACTCTTAATCTCCAACCCCCTTGAAATAAGGGCCAACATTCCATTAGCCCTTCCTGATAACCTGTTGTACCTGTGTGCTAGCTTTTTGTGTTTTGTGCACATCCCCCAACATGTCCTTTGTGTTGCAGCTTTCTGCAGCTTCTGTACATTTAAATAATATTCTGATCTTTTGTTCTCCCTCTGAAATGAACAACTTTGCATTTTTCCACATTATACTCCATTTGCCAATCTTTTTTGCGCACTTACATAACACAGAACATAGAATAGAACATAGAACAGTACAGGCCCTTCGGCCCACGATGTTGTGCTGAACTTTTACCCTAAACCTAAGGTCTATCTAACCTCCACCTCTACCTTATACTATCATCCATATGCCTATCTAATAGTCGCTTAAATGCCCCTAATGAGGCCGACTCCACTAGCCTCTCCGGCAATGCATTCCACAACTTGACCACTCTCTGAGTAAAGAACCTACCTCTGACGTCTCCTTGGTATCTACCTCCACTCACTTTAAAACTATGCCCCCTCGTAATAGCTACCACCACCCTAGGAAAGGGTCTCTGGCTGTCTACTCTATCTATACCTCTGATCATTTTGTACACCTCCATCAAGTCACCTCTCATCCTTTGTCGTTCTAAAGTGAAAAGCCCTAGATCTCTCAACCTTTCCTCGTAAGACCTTCCCTCCATTCCAGAAAACATCCTAGTAAATCACCTCTGCACCTTTTCCAAAGTTTCCACATCTTTCCTGTAATGAGGCAACCAGAACTGGACACAGTACTCCAGATGGGGCCGAACCAGGCTTTTGTATAGCTGGAGCATAACTTCACGGCTCTTGAACTCAATCCCTCCATTAATGAAAGCTAACACACCATACGCCTTCTTAATAACTCTATCCACCTGGATGGAAGCTTTCAGGGAACTGTGGACATGAACCCCAAGATCCCTCTGCTCCTCCACACTGCCAAGAATCTTTCCATTAACCCTGTATTCTGCTTTCAAGTTTGTCCTTCCAAAATGAATCACCTCACACTTTTCAGGGTTAAACTCCATCTGCCACTTCTCAGCCCAGCTCTGCATCCTATCAATGTCCCTTTGTAACCTAGAACAGCCCTCCGCACTATCCACAACTCTACCCAGCTTCATATCGTCCACGAACTTACTAATCCATCCTTCCACTCCTACATCCAAATCATTTACAAAAATCACAAATAGAAGAGGACCCAGAACAGATCCTTGTGGTACACCACTCGTAACTGAGCACCATGTTGAATATTTTCTGTCCACTACCACCCTTTGTCTTCTAAGGGTCAGCCAGTTCTGAATCCAATCTGCCACATTTCCCCCATCACATGCCTCCTTACTTTCTGCATGAGCCTACCATGGGGAACCTTATCAAACGCCTTACTTAAATCCATGTATACCACATCCACTGCTCTACCTTCATCCACGTGTTTGGTCACCTCTTCAAAGAATTCAATAAGGTTTGTGAGGCATGATGGACCCCTCACAAATCCATGCTGTCTATCATGAATCAAACTGTGCCAATCCAAGTGATCATAAATCGTATCTCTCAGAGCCCTTTCCAATAATTTGCCCATCACTGACGTAAGACTAAGTGGCCTGTAATTTCTTGGGTCATCCCTTTTCTCTTTTTTGAACAAGGGAATGACGTTTGC